GCTACTAAAAAAGACTGGACATACCCCATTTGCAATACCTTGGGTTGTCTACTATTGCAAATGGTATGCCATTATGGGTGTAAATTTCATTCCTGGGCTACTATACAGTCTCAAAGGCAACGTAACCAATCTGCCGAATTTCAATTTTAAATGTCACGTGCTATATTTGACCCTGTAACTTCCCAAAACGCCATAAAACCTGTACCTAGGGGGTACTGTCTTACACGTGTGACTTTACTGAATACAAATATGTGTATTTTATTGCAGTAAAAGCAAACAGTATTATGACATTGACCATTAAAATGTCATGTAGAACTAAAAAATAAAATAAATCGTATTTTCTCCCATTTTTTTCATATTAAATTATGTTTCATAGCTAAATATGTGATATTAAACGAAAGCCCTGTTTCCCCTGAATAAAATGATATATAATAAGGGTGGGTGCATTTACTATGAAAGAGGTGAATTACGGTTGGACAGACATGTAGCACAAATGCCAGGTTTTGTTTACATTTTGTTTTGTTCACAACTTTGGCTCCGTCTTTAAGGGGTTAAAATAGAACAAAAATTAAACAATAAAGGAGAAACTCCTATTGGCTCTATGACTCCTAATGGTGTCTTTTTGTCAGGGATATGCATAGTTAGTCTGGCCACTTTGAGTGTGGGAGTGTTTCTGTGTAGCAGCCTGGTTGCGCGAGGGTTACTCATCATATTATTATTATTATGATATTTATAGAGCGCTGTCAAATTCCGCAGCGCTTTACATGGGTGGACAAACAGACATGTAGTTGTAACCAGACAAGTTGGACACACAGGAACAGAGGGGTTGAGGGCCCTGCTCAATGAGCTTACATGCTAGAGGGAGTGGGGTAAAATGACACAAAAAGGTAAGGATAGTATTAGACTAGTGACAGTTGCAGAAGAGGAATCAGTCGGGAGCTATTAACAGTTTAATTGATACGCTTTTATTATATTGCTCCCAGTGTGACCAGACTTTGCTTAAGGTAGTGGTGGTGTTGCGGACCCGTGCAGTGAGCTTATCCATAAGGTAACTGTAACGGACCATTTTGCCCAAAAGAGGTTAAAAACCGTTTAGGCGATATTCCCCTTTTTCAGCTGCACCGACAGCTACTGCAAGCACCAATCTCCTGAACTGCAAACCCACGAATTCACCAACTCCCGAACTGCAACCAAGGGAATACTCGAAACTCCCGAACTGCATACCAAGGGAATACTCGAAACTCCCGAACTGGAGACACACGAATAGTTGCTAGCAGACAAACAGGAAAAGCCCCCAAGCGGCTTACACTCCTAGCAATCAGCCTCTAACAGCATACAGTAAATCCTCCCCCAATAATGAGACGACACTTCACTTTGAGGGTTAAGCAGAAACTGATTTACTGGGGCTAACTGCCCTGCTTTTATGCAGGTCTCCCACCTGGTGGACACTCCCCTAGGGGACCAAATGGGAGACTGGGACACAAAGGGTAAAAGGACGAATCACAGACTTACACATTTCAACCATCCCACAACCCTCCTCTCTGCTCTGGAGATAATTGGGAAGTAATTCAATTATCTCCAAAGACAGAGGCAAAACTCCATTAACCACACGGCAGAAAACAAACAGTAAAAGACATAAAATTACCTACAGTTACATTCAGTACATAAAACATATACGTTCTACATATCCCTAGATAGCTCAGGTCTGAGCGCACATTATTAAGCGAATGGCGCTCAGACAACACAAATACAGTTTAATCGCCATGGAGCTAAAGTCTTTACACAGTCAGTTTCATGCGAATGGGCTCCATGGGATTCCTATCTGGGGCACAACACACACAAACAAAACTACCGAACACCGGGCCGTTCGTGCCCTTTCACCAAACAAGAAGGGAGGTCGGCGGCTTCAGCAGTGTTCGCGCAAAACTGTGTCCGATTTCATTTCCATGAATTAAGCGTCGAACACCGCTGTGCATTCGCATGTTTAAAATGGCCGCGACCTCGTGTTCGTGATACGAATGGCGGCCACCTAGCATTCGTCAATTAAGCTGCGGTTAACCGCAGCTTCAGGGAGGTTAATTGCCGGCACACTCCAGCTCCCAGGTGGTCTATTCATTCGTGCGGTTGTTCGGTAGATTGAAGCACGAATAAGACTTTTCTGCAGGGAAAAAAGATGTCTTTTAACATGGGGCTATAGTCCAAAGGCAGCAGGCGAGCAACCAGGCTTCTCCAGTGTACAGTGGCAAGGTTGGTTTCGCCACAGCAACTATCTCTGATCTTTGTGGTCACTTTAGATATGTGCACCCAGTATTGCGTCAGGGCTCTCCTGTGATGGGATTCCAGCATGGTCAAAATTTAGTAGGCCAAAATCTCCATGTGGCATATGTGTATGTTGTGTCAGTTAGTCAGCTACACATAGCTAGGATACTGTCATCAGTGTACTGAGCATGTGCAGGAATGCAGGAACTGAAATTGCACTTATTTCCTTTGTCTTGGATGGGCCATGTGGTTTGACTAGATGTACAAGTCTATATTCTGCTCATTGATTGGTTAAAGGTATATGTGGGTGTAGCTATTAATGGGAGGAGTTATAGTGCTATATAAGGAATGTACACTATGTGTTGGTCTCTCAGAATGTTGGAACAGGAGTTCATCTGAGACCCGATCGGTAATGTGAATAAAGGCCTGTTACTTCCTGAAGACCTGTGTCCAATATTTCTGTGTTTGGCTTCTGCATGTTTACACTGCAACATCTCTGGTGCATTGGAAGCCGGGAACCTCATTTCCACGGAAGCTGGCACAGAGATTTGAGACGGTAAACTTTTACCAAACCTTCTACGCTACAATCCTGGACTTTGTCCAGGAGATCATCGGCTTCTGCGCAGTGAGTCCCGGATTGTTCCGTCTATGAGTGAACCCAGGTCCAGAAATTAACAGGTAAGATTGATACCGTTAGAGCGGTAGACCCACAAAGGGTTTTATATTTGGAACCGGTTATTGGAATCTGCCCTGTCCTGATGGATGGAAGAAGTGAAAAGCGCAACACTTATCTGGAAATTAGACGCTCTGTAGTCAGCCCGTCTAATATAGGTGGTTTGGGTCAGACTGAGTTCTGGTGTAAATAGCTCATGTCGGACACCGGTGTCCTGTCTTGACTAGCGTATCTAGGGTGTAAATTTTGTTCGCTAGGTCGGGGGGACCGGGAGACTAGCATACTCTGTTGTATATTATAGTTTGCTAGATTTCACCCTATCTTAACTAAGTGTGCTCTGTTGTAAATCCAGCCACTAGCTTATTGATAGTTTAATAGACTAGCTGGGTACTGTGTAAATTCTGCCCTCTAGTTCGCTATACGTGGTGTCTGGGCAGCGAAGAACTTATCGAATCTCTGGTGTATAAATAGATCGAAAGCTCTCGAGGTGCTGGCCAGTTAGAATAGTTGGGATTATTGTAAATGTTGTTAAATATATTGTAGTTGGTGAATTGGTTAACTTGTATGTCCTACTAGAAAGTTAGAGCTCTGCTGTCTAGTGGGAGTGTAAATTGTGTGTATAACTGTAAAATAGCGAACGGTACCATAACTACTGACATGTACCATAACCACTGACATTGTGTAAAAATTACTAACAATTGCTGTTTTATGTTATATGTATGATACCATAACTGTTACTAACTGATCTGTGACTTTAAAACTGTATTATAACCACTTACTAACTGTACCATAACCACTGACTGTAAAGATGAGGTTACTAGAATGTGATATAGTTGGTTAGTCAAAAGTTGATTTATAGTACGGATAATTGTAGAGATGAATTTGTTGAAATGTTATGTGATCGGTTAGTTTATATGGATTAATAGCGTGGATAGTTGTATGGTTTGAATAATAGTTACATTGATAAGTGTATAGTCTTTGGTGGGTTTTTGATTTAATTTCGTGTGTGCGACGTCGTGATATTGTTGAGCATGTGAGGATCCTGTGTGTGTGTTTGGGCCTAGTGACTGCGCAATGTGTTGCTGGTGATAAGGAGATTGGTGTGACTGTTGAAACTGTGTGTATATTTGTACAGCTTTTTGAATCAGACGTTCTGTTGAAATGATCTTCTGATTCACTAGGCTGTTAGTCTTTTGTCTTGTATGTTTACAAAAAAAAAAAAAAAAAATAGGGAGTAGCCTGTCCTGGTGGCCGCATGGCCTCCATGTAGCAGTCTTCACTTAAATTTAGTGCAGGGTGTACATGTGGCTGTAACTAGTAGGCTGGAATTCTATGATCAGTTTCTATATATTGACTGTTGGAAACTGATTGTTGAAAAACTGCCTTGGTGAATTAAACTGTGTCATATGGGAAACAATGTAGCCATATGGTGGTCAGAACTAAGGCCTTGATTACAACTGCTTTGGACATCCCCTCCCCCCTGGCATCTGATTACCAACCCCCCAAACATCCTCCAGAGCCAGATTAGCCACGCCCCTATTCTTCTTCCCAAGCTAAGAACTGGTATATAGTCAGTATTTGCACTCCCCCTGCTCTACTGTCCCCGCCTACCCACATACCTATCTGTTCCTGTGTTTCAAACTCTTGTATTTCTGTACTACCCCTCCCCCTAATCAATGATCAATGGTATCAGATGGTATATTGGTTTTTTTTAGTTACTGGATGGGCCCCTCCCAGCTTTGTCCAAAATGTCCCCTTTTACTAAACTACAAACTGAAATGTTTAATTTACCTTAGAACTAAAGATTTAATCAAGCCTAGCTAGCAGGGTGGACATTGATTAAAATAAGTAATAATAAAATAGGGACATAATTAATTAAAGTCTATCTGCTTCATTTGACTTTAGGGAGGCACTCTAAGCCACCTACGGGCCATCTTCGGGAGTTACATTGATAATACATTGTTTATAACAGATAGAAGTAGGATTGCTTACCCTATTTTAATATATTTATTGCTATAAGGTTTTATTTTATGTATAAATATATTAAAAGTTGAGTTTTCTTATTAGACCCATAAAGATTATTTTGATACAATTACCCTCTGGTGACACCTACTGGTAGGTTTTTGGTTTAACACTTTAAACAAAAAGTTTTTTCATCCACCAAATGCCGACTAATAAAATTAGCTCACCCCCTTACACCTATCTTACTACTCCTAGACTGGAACCTATTATTGAGCAGCCTTGCCGAAGTCCCATATTAGATACTGTTTGAGTCAAATAGATTGTACACTCCTTTCAATCCTGAAGCCCCTGAAAACTTCCGAATGATAGACTCAGCATTTGTCAGCCAGGCCCAAGGTGATAGTAAAAGGAAATTACAGAAATTAGAGGGATTTGTAGGGATGTCCATAATACAGCTAATGGAGATTGCAAATACAGTATATATGAATAGGGAGACGGAGGAAGAACGTAAAATGAGGAAAAAGGCAGATATGCTAGCGGTAGCTATCTTAAGTGTAGAAAGACAGGGAAGTGAATAGAGGAGACGAGAATAGGCTGAGCAAGGGACTTTAAGTAGGAATTAATGTGCGTATTGTAGAAAGGAGGGACATTGGAAGAGTGAGTGTCCACAGAGAGAGCAGTATGAAGGTGATAGACAAGGAGAGAGAAGGGTACGAGGAGGTTATAGTGGTAGTTATAGAGTAAGAGGAAGTTTTAGAGGGAATGATGGGAATAGTAGAGGAAGTGTTCAAGGAGACAGATACTATCCACCCACGCAGAGACCTAGAGAAAGAGAGGATAGAGATTTTGTGGGTCTGGCTGACACTATCATGGAAGACTATTGATACCGACTGGGCTCCATCCCACTTGGTCGAGCGGAGCCTATGGTCGATGTAGCAATAGGGGGAAAGAGAAGTTCTTTCATGATCGACACAGGTGCTGAACATTCTGTGGTGACTAAGATGGTGGCTCCGCCTTCGGGGAAGACTATAACTGTGATAGGAGCTACTGGGAGAAGTGCAGCTAGGCCGGTTCTTAAGAGTCGCACTTGTATTCTGGGAGGCCATGTGGTGAAGCATTAGTTCCTATATATGCCAGAGTGTCCGATTCAACTTTTAGGACGAGATCTATTATCGAAGCTTTAAGCTCAGATAACCTTTTACCTAATGGATTAACATCTCTGAAGTTTAAGGGGTTACCAGGCATAATGGCGATATCGGTGCCAAGGGAAGAAGAATGACGCTTCTATTCCATAGTGACAAGTGTTAACCCTAAGAGTGATGAATCCTTACTTGACATTCCAGGAGTATGGGAAGAAAATAATCCTCCAGGACTTGCTCGTAATATCCCACCAATACATATTGAGTTAAAGCTCGGGGTGTATTCTGTTAGCCTTTGTATGTTGTTCTTTTATCTACCCCAACAGCTGTAAAGGTGGCGGAAGTGACTCCTTGGATTCATCATTCTAGGGTTAAACCAGCAGCAGACTCTTGGCAAGCTACTCCAGATCCTGAGAATCCTTGCAGGACCCGGTTGAAGCGTGCAACTCAGTCGGAGTGACGAGGGGATATCGAGACATTCTAGTTAAAAGTCTACAAAGATCATCAAGTAGGTGTTTTGACGGCCATAATAAAGCCTGACCACCTGCCTACGTGTCATAGCCAGAGTATCTTGAAGGGATCTCTGTGAAGGAAAGTGAGGATCAGAAGAACAACATCCTTGCAGCCCTCACAATCGGGAAGCTGAGAGGCCATCGCACGGTCGAAGAAAAATGAGGATTTCAGGAATAATGTGTTTTATTGTGTCTTAGTATTTTTATGATTTTTCAGGAAGGTAGGAGTACAGACATACCGAATTGCGATAGTTGCATTAAGACTACTAAAACAGGTAACCAAATATCCCAAACTCTCATCTGGCACTCACAGTATGTATGTAAGGGATCTGTATCTAAATGTAGATATTTGGATAATGATTATAGTGTGTGCAAGCCAATATCAGGAGAGTCTAAATGTTTTGATCCCCAATTCCAACCCCGTACAATTTGGTTGGTAATTCGGAATAATAACTCCCAGGGGACATTAATAAATAGGACTGTGATAAGCACCATACATTCCACGGGTATTCTACTATTTGATGCATGTAAGGCGATTTCGGGTAGTGGAAGACTTTGGAATGTATGTGGTAATCTTAAATGGGAACGAACTTATGGTTTAATGATAAATACTTATGTCCCAGTAAAAGATCTACTGATCCTGATTGCCCAAATAGAGACTAACTTCTGCCCCTATTTGTCATGTGTAGGTTGGGCAACCTGGGAAAAACAGTGGATCAAGATATGATTATCCAAAGGTTGCCTACCACACAATACTGTAAAACTATGTGTGTAACCCCGTTCACATGACCATTTCCAATCTGCAGTACTTTATTGACAGGTTTGGAGGTCTGTTTGGGTTCCAAATATATGGCACAGGAGTAGATCCAGGAACAATAATATATGTAGGTCTTGAAACTGAGACAGTGGCAACTCAAACTCATCAGGTTTTCCATTCCTTTTATGAGGAGATGAGTGTTGAGGATAAAATTCCCCATAATGTTAACAACCTATTTATTGATTTGGCTGAGGGTATTGCAGGTAGTCTTAATGTAACTAATTGCTATGTGTGTGGAGGTACTAATATGGGAGACCAGTGGCCATGGGAGGCAAAGGAAATATGGTACCCTGGCTCTGAGACATATGAACAACAGACACCTTTCCAGTCTGATCATCAAGTAAGTACTAGAAGTAAATCAGAATGGTGGTTAAAAACCTCCATTATAGGTCATGTGGGACAAAAAGCCTATAATGTTAATACTAAAATACTACTTGGTGGTCAGCTTCAAATGTCTCGGAACCTACTAATCCGTTTGCCAATTACACTCATTTAAAGGAGGTATGGTTTGACTTATCGGCTACATCTAGTTGGAAAGCCCCAGCAAATTTATACTGGATTTGTGGTAAGAAAACTTTTTCGGAGTTACCACAAGATTGGGAAGGGGCATGTGTATTAGGTATGCCAAAGCCATCCTTCTTCTTGTTGCCAATCGAAACAGGAGAGACCTTGGGAGTTAAGGTTTACGATGTAAATCATAAAAGGGAGAGAGCATCCTTGAATATAGGTAGCTGGGAAGATAATGAGTGGCCCCCTCAACGTATTATTAATTATTATGGACCTGCTACTTGGGCAGAAGATGGCACTTATGGATATAGAACTCCGATTATCTATGCTCAACGCATTATTAGACTACAGGCGGTAGTTGAGATTATTACTAATGAGACAGCTCAAGTGCTTAATCTTCTAGCTAAGCAAAATACCAAGATGTGATCAGCCATATACCAGAATAGGCTAGCCCTTGATTACTTACTAGCAGTAGAAGGAGGTGTATGCAGAAAGTTTAATCTAAGTAACTGTTGTCTGCACATAGATGATGAAGGGCAGGCAGTGGCTGAACTTACAAGCCACATGGTTAAATTTGAGCATGTACCTACTCAGGTCTGGAATGGGTATAACCTAAGTAGTTGGTTTGGAAGTTGGTATGAGCAACTTGGAGGAATTAAGACATTAGTAGGAGGAGTAGAATTTATTATATTTTTTTGTGCCTCCTCCTGCCCTGTCTAATTCCACTAGTGGTAAGGTCCCTACGTAGTATTATAGAGAGTACTATAGAGAGAAAGACAGCGGCTCATGTAATGGCTGTCTGGAAGATATGATCCCCTAGCCGGAAGAGAATATATTCAGGATGAAGAATGTTGAAGGAGTTTTTAAGATGCTTACAAGGTCTACTCTGGTTTAATGGCTACTTGAGAGATGTAGGTAAAACTGTGATTGGTGATGCATCTGGAATAATGTTATATCAGAGGCATCAAAAGGGGGGAATGTGATGGGATTCCAGCATGGTTAAAATTTAGTAGGCCAAAATCTCCATGTGGCATATGTGTATGTTGTGTCAGTTGGTTAGCTACATGTGGCTAGGATACTGTCATCAGTGTACTGAGCATGTGCAGGAATGCAGGAACTGAAATTGCACTTATTTCCTTTGTCTTGGATGAGCCATGTGGTTTGACTAGATGTACAAGTCTATATTCTGCTCATTGATTGGTTAAAGGTATATGTGGGTGTAGCTATTAATGGGAGGAGTTATGGTGCTATATAAGGAATGTACACTATGTGTTGGTCTCTCAGAATGTTGGAACAGGAGTTCATCTGAGACCCGATCGGTAATGTGAATAAAGGCCTGTTACTTCCTGAAGACCTGTGTCCAATATTTCTGTGTTTGGCTTCTGCATGCTTACACTGCAACAAGAGAGAGAGACCTGAGACAGACAGACACATGTCAGAGAGAGTGACCTGAGACAGCCAGACACATGTCAGAGAGAGAGAGTGACCTGAGACAGCCAGACACATGTCAGAGAGAGAGAGACATGAGACAGACAGACACATGTCAGAGAGAGAGACCTGAGACAGACAGACACGTCAGAGAGAGATAGACCTGAGACAGACAGACACATGTCAGAGAGAGAGAGTGAGTGACCTGAGACAGACAGACACATGTCAGAGAGAGAGAGAGTGACCTGAGGCAGACAGACACGT